TATATATATTGTGTTGTTAACGAAGAGAAAACATTGAAACCCCTGTTATTGTGTGTAAATGAGACAAAAAATCAGCAACCTGGGGCTTGATAAATTTTGTGATGCCATACGGCGGATGCGGGAGAAGTAGGCAGGAGCGGAGGAGTATGGTGGAGCGGAGGAGTATGGCAGGAGCGGAGGAGTATGGCAGGAGCGAGGAGGAGGGTGGTGAGTCACTGCTCTGACTGGGTTCTTCCGCCGCTGTTTGCGCCGTAAAAAGTATGACGACGTAAAACGGCGTTGTTGAGATATCGGGACGTTAAAAGATTAGCAGCGTAGTCGAAACAACATTAAGCATTGGCGTAACATTCCATTCTGAATGTAATAGTAAAATATACAAGCAAATGATATATATGGTTGACAATCCTTTCCAAAATCCTTGGGGCCAAGGCATTTTGGATTTTGGAATTTTTTAGTTTCAGAATGGATAGGGTTTTTTTTTTGTGTGTGTGTATTAGCCCACCTGGGCACAAGTCACCTGACCCAATTGGGGCCTGGGGGTGAAAATATAATAACAATTATAAAATAATAATAATAATTCATAGGTCTAGGTCGTTTCTCCTTTTTATCTTTTTCATTCTTGTATTTCTTTTTATTATTATTTATTAATACAGTATTATTCTTATTATTATTATTATAAATTTTATTATTATTATTTATCATTATTTTATTTTTGGTGTATTTTTAATTAAAATTTTATTTACTATGAATAATTATTATTATAATTATTATTATTATTATAATTGATATTACTATTACATTCCCCCATTTTAATGTGGGTCAGTGATCTATGCCTGGGTGGGCTAATCCTGTTAAAAATTGTTCCTAAAATAAAACTTGGTTTCAGAGCTTTTCGGTTTTCGGAATTTCAGATAAAGGGTTGTCAACCTGTGTGTATATATATATATATATATATATATATATATATATGTTTTTTATATTTCTCTCTCTCTCTCTCTCTCTCTCTCTCTCTCTCTCTCTCTCTCTCTCTCTCTCTCTCTCTCTCTCTCTCTCTCTCTCTCTCTCTCTCTCTCTCTCTCTCTCTCTCTCTCTCTCTCTCTCTCTCTCTCTCTCTCTCTCTCTCTCTCTCTCTCTCTCTCTCTCTCTCTCTCTCTCTCTCTCTCTCTCTCTCTCTCTCTCTCTCTCTCTCTCTCTCTCTCTCTCTCTCTCTCTCTCTCTCTCTCTCTCTCTCTCTCTCTCTCTCTCTCTCTCTCTCTCTCTCTCTCTCTCTCTCTCTCTCTCTCTCTCTCTCTCTCTCTCTCTCTCTCTCTCTCTCTCTCTCTCTCTCTCTCTCTCTCTCTCTCTCTCTCTCTCTCTCTCTCTCTCTCTCTCTCTCTCTCTCTCTCTCTTCTCTCTCTCTCTCTCTCTCTCTCTCTCTCTCTCTCTCTCTCTCTCTCTCTCTCTCTCTCTCTCTCTCTCTCTCTCTCTCTCTCTCTCTCTCTCTCTCTCTCTCTCTCTCTCTCTCTCTCTCTCTCTCTCTCTCTCTCTCTCTCTCTCTCTCTCTCTCTCTCTCTCCCTCTCTCTCTCTCTCTCTCTCTCTCTCTCTCTCTCTCTCTCTCTCTCTCTCTCTCTCTCTCTCTCTCTCTCTCTCTCTCTCTCTCTCTCTCTCTCTCTCTCTCTCTCTCTCTCTCTCTCTCTCTCTCTCTCTCTCTCTCTCTCTCTCTCTCTCTCTCTCTCTCTCTCTCTCTCTCTCTCTCTCTCTCTCTCTCTCTCTCTCTCTCTCTCTCTCTCTCTCTCTCTCTCTCTCTCTCTAATATCCATTTTATCTGCTGGAGGTTAGATAATTGGGTTAATAGAATCATGTTTAGATAACCATGGAATAGGTAGATCCAGTCCTTGAAGTCTGGCTCCCGGTGAGATAT